AAAAAAATTTAATAATTTTCATATATTTTTGTAGAATATGACATATTCCTACTAAAAATATGAAAATAAAAAAAAAAACTTCTAAGACCACATAAATATGAAAATATAAAAGAAACTCTCAAGGCCAATGTATTAATTTTCTTTATAAATCAAACTTTATGCCACCGCTGTATCAAATATCATTGTTTGTTAATGCATAAAATCAGTTTAAACCAGTTCATTAAATTCGAAATTTCACAATCAATCGATCTTATTAAAACCGGTTTTTGAATCTCTAAAAATCAGACCCAGTTTTATGTTGCAACCGGTTTAAACCAAATTTAAATCAAATTTCACCAAACCGGTTCCAACCTCTAGAAAGAACCCTATACATGCAGATCTCTTAAAGCCATATTTGGAACGAACTGAATGGGAACTTCAGATTATTATTGAATAATGATTAGCACTAAGACATTATAAAAAGGACCTTTGTCATCGTTATATTATTCAAACAAATAAAACTATAATGGAACTTACGAATTTTGAAATAGTATTAATTCCTACAACTATTCTTGAAGAAATTCGACTAATGGAACTTCTATATCAGACTGACGCATCCTTAGCTCAAAAAGTACAGTCTGTTTACCAAACTCTCCTTTGTTCTACCCATATGAGGAACTGTATTTTATCTCTTGCTAATGCTTTTTATTTAGGTCAACTTATTGATGATGTGACTATTTCACTGGCCCAACAAACAGTACAAATGACAACGATAACTAAACATTATTACCGAATCGCTATTTGAGTTTATCATCTCTTTGAAAATGTAGGAGTCCAACGAATCTTTGATACTCGATATCTGACCTTGACCATGATTTGATGATTAAAGTCCAGTGAATATCAAACTTTTGTACTGGAAACTCTCAATATTTCTGCAGGAGCAGAAATCTTAAGTGGGAAGTAATGTGAATGGGTAAATATAATGCAGCTTATGTAATGCAGAAGATCGACCGATTTGATATAAGTGATATATGTGATATGTCAGACATATGTGGCATAGTTGACATATTAGACATAGTTGATATATTAGATATAGTTAATATATTAGACATAGTTGATATAGTAGACATGTTAGATATATCTTTATATGTAACTTATTTTATATAAATAGATAGCTTTTTAGTTTATGTAAAAAGGAGAGACAGATAGGAATTTGACAAGTTAGTTTTAGTAGTTTTAGAGGCAACTAGTCTACCACGTTACATTTTAGTTTCAGTAATTCTTTTCTTTTTCTTTCTTATTTTATTCTCTTATTTTTTTTTATTTTTTTTCTTTTACTTCTATTATTTTACTCGTGAATAAACACATTATTTTATACTTACAAATCATTGGCAATCTGTTGAATTACTCAACGTAATAGTATAAATACTTTTGATAAACTGACTAGGTTAAAAGCTTGTAAATTGTTGAAAGATTACTGCTCAATTAAAAAGAATAAACCACTTGAACACCCTGTCTAACAGTTGTAGTTCACAAGAATTACACGTTAATAATACTATATAAATAAATTATATAAAAATTAAAAATGTAATCTTTTTCGTTATTAATAAGACTAACTATAAAGTAATTTTTATAATTATTACTTACTAATCTTTTATTTCTTTTTAAATAACAAAGGAACAATAAAAAGTAAGAAGGAGCAAAAAAATTTTTTCTCGTTAGAAATAATGTATGTAAACATATTACTAATAACAATAAACAATTTCACAAGATCTGCATAAGAGAATTTTATTTTTTTTTGATAATTCAGGCTAGCTAATTCAGGCTAAAAATACAAGTCACGTAGAGGTGAAAAAAGTGTTAACAATACTGAAAAAGCTTCATCACATATATCAAGTTACATGATTTTATATTTATTTAAATTTTATTATGTTCAATTTTAGCCTTCTTCCTTCCCTCTGGAATTTTTGGATTTTATATGATATTAACCAGAAGTATGAATTAGAGTAGTCTAAATAAGCAATGTAAATTTATATTTAAATTTTCTTAAATTTCAAATGATTATTTAGAAAAAGAAAGAATTTAAGTTAACTAATAATTTAAAAAAAAAATTAAAAAATATAAGCAATAAAAATAAAAAATTTTTTAATTTATTAACATATGATTATCTAGACTATTTTGATTGATTTGACTAGATAATATTATTATTATAACAAATTATTTATTATAGTAATAATGAATTTTCTTATAATGAAAACTTGATCAGTTTAGATGTTAAATTTATTATATTAAGTTTTAATTGTATTTTTAAATCTAAAATAATTTAATTATTTTTAAATGATTAAATATTATTTAAATTAAAATTATTTTTGAAATTTAAACTTTTATTGAAATAATAATATATAATTTTTAATAACTTTTTATAAAATCAGTTTTATTTTTATTAATTAATTTTAACAATTATTTAAAATCATAATTAAATATAATTTAGTTATAATAAGTTAATTTTAACTTAATATCTAATTAATGATAATAATTTTTTTTTGAATTTTAAGTTTGTGATCTAAATATTTCAAATATTAATAATAGTTAAATTTCTTTTATTTTTTATTTAAAAAATATCATAAAATTTATTATAATTTTAATTATTAAATAAAATTATCAAATATATTTGTTTTTAATACTATTGAAGAGAAATTTGATAAATTTAATTTTATAATTTACCAATTTTTTAATTAATATATTTAAATAATAAATAATTTTTGAAAAAATGTATTTGTAACATCCTATTATATGTCTTATTTATAACATCCTTTTTTATTTTTCATAGATAAAATTTTGAAATTTTTTAAAAAAATTCTTATTTTCGTTACACAACTGATCTTTTATTTTGATTTGCTAAATTATTGACGTTACACCTGATCTTAAATTTTGATTGGACAAAATTTTTGATGTTACAAATAAGACATGTGACAGAATGTTACAATTAGATTTATCCATAATTTTTTATTATATAGATTAGATTGCTATTTATTATATAAAATCACATTTAGCTTTATTAATTAATTTGAAAACAGAAAATTTTTTTATTAAATATATTATATATAATCTCTTATATTTCATAAAGTATTCAAACACTTACTTTCATATGATTGCTATATATATTTTTTTATATATTTATAAAATTCAATTTATTTAAATTATGTTATTAAATTATAATTACTTATAATTAAATTTTATTAGAATTAATTAAATACTTATAAGATTATAAATATTTTAATCAAAATTAACTGGAAAATAAAAGCAAAATCATGTAATTGCAGTTTCAATAATTTATTGATATATATTTTGATATAACCAACGAATAACATATCCTAAAATGTATAAAATAAATAAAACGTTTACAAAAATTTAATTAAAATAAAAATACAAAGACTAACTAGACTTGGATTTAAATGTTTAAATGATTTCAATCATTATTCAATACAAAACCCAAATCGTATCCATTACCTTTTAATTTATTATCCCATAGCCCCGCTAGCCATGGCTTCTTCAACTTCTTTAACTTCGCCTTCCATAACTTTACTTCTTACAAGTGCTTTTTTTGCTTCCTCTAACTTACCGGCTTTCTTAAATATTAAAGCCAACTTTTTACAACTAATGATATTTACTCTTACCTGATCTATATATTTATCTAATGTTAATTGTCCTGTCTCTACTTGTATAACTAATAAATTTTGTTTAATTTCCAAAGAAGCCTTTCTATCTGTTAAATCATCTGGAACTGGTTTACGCTGTGCTTCTAGTATCGCAATTTGATTATTAACCACATCAAGCTCATTTTGTATTACAAGACTAGATACAAGAAGGTCGACGCTAAAAAAAAAAAAAAAAAAAAATTAATTAGTAAAAGACGAGACCATTAACATATATATATATTTTAGAGAGAGAAAGGTTACTTGTTTAATTGTTGTTCTGCTTCTTCCAGTTCACTTTGTGCATCATCAACCGAAACAGTATCACGGCTTGGAGTCGGCGTAGCGGGTGTGTCACGTACTACCTTCTGTTTTGCAACAGGAGTTGATATTTGAGGTATTTCATTTCTAATTGGAGTAGGTGTACTTGGTGAAGGCGGCGTTTTGGGTGTGGCAACTTTCGATTTAACAGGCGTTTGTGCTGACGTTGGAATACTAGCTGATGAAACTGATTGTGGAGTATTTCTAGTAGGAGTTGCTGGAGATGATGTTGATGCTTGAGGGGTAGATGGGATACTAGCAAAAGCTGGGTTGTTTGCATTGAACTCATCAATGATAAGCCATTTTTCGGTCTTTGAGATTATATCTGGATTTATTAAAGGTGTCCGTAACCTCAAGCGAATTTCTAACTTTCCACCTGTCGGCTTCCGTACGTGATCTACAAGCTGAAATAATATTGAGAGATGTTAACCGATTTCGATTGGTAACAAGGATAAATGTTTACATATATCATGATCATTACATACCATTAAAACTTCATGAATCTCGGCTTTACTTAAAAGTAGATCTAACTTAACAGTAGCCTTCCCTAATGAAATAGCTTTTCGTAAAAACCCCCTATAGTGAAATACTTCGAATGTTGCTTTCTTTGAGTTCACATAACGTTGAAACGCTTTTGTACGTTCTATATTTATAATTTTTTTCCAATTAAATTCTAAAATTATAAAAGAAAATTAGTAAACTACTGTAATAGAAACTAAATATTGAACTAATCAAATCAGCCATATAAACCTGGATCCATTCCACGTGTAGCAGTCGAAGTGTCGCCTTTACCGCTGCCAGCACCAAGACTACCTTCAGTAGGCCACCCAATGTCCCAACTTACATATGCATCAACATCCTTTCCGTTCACTTCTTTATTACCTAAATTATAGGCCCTCTCAATACAAATTTCCATGTCATTAGCAGACAAATGTAAGAAAGCATTTTCAACGCAATATGTTATGTCTTGAAAATGAAATGCTGGTACATTTTTGCCATGCGTACGGTAAGAAATCAATGATGTTAAATCAGCCATAAAAGATTTTTTATAACGGTAAAAGGTCGCGGCTTGAGTCTTGTTTCCGGTTTTTAAATAATAAGCTGATATTGTAGTACATAAAGCAACTTGTGATTCTAGTTGAGATATTAAACGCGCATATTGATCTTCTTTTGAGATCTAAAATTATATATATATATATATATATTTGAATATTTGATAGCAATATAAATAAATAAAATTTTTTATTATAATAGAATTTTTTTTTTTTTTGCAAAAAAAATTCACTTTTACCATAGCAAATGATAGTTCGTCTTCATTCATAATATTCAAATTAGTCGCATTATCTAGTACTGTTAATACTTTTTTTTTAGTTGACACTGACGTTACATTTACTGACGTTTTGTTCTTTGAGGTGGATGGAACAACTGGACTTTGAGATACGATTTCACGTTTAGAGACATCAGGCTCACCGGGAATTTCCCATCCTTCAGGTAATTCATCACCATTTTTCAAAGATTTCATTGTTTTATGAATGATTGTTGCCGTATTTAAAAATTCTTCTGCACGCGGAACATTGTTGGAGGTTTTAAATGCAACAGCTGCTTCTTTATATTGTTTAAATCTTTGACTTAAAGTATCAATAATCTTCTGATTTTGTGGGGAAATCTCCGAGCTTTGACGTGTATTTTTGGATACAGGAGATGACAAAGATGCTTGTTCCGCAAAATTTTTCGACAAATCATCCACTTTCTGCGAGCTCGTGTTACTCCCAACTTCAGTTTCTGAACCTTGCTTGCTTTGTGACAAAATCTGAGCTCGCTTCGCTTCTAGTTGCTTGTAGGCCTTCATAGATTCTACAGCCCCGGCTTTATCACCTTCTCTCTTTTTCATAATCGCATTTAATTTTTCTTCTTGTATATACTTTGCTAAAACGTTTACATCATTGGATTGTAACATCACTTCAAGCGATGGTTCTCCTTGCAAACTTATTAAAACATCACGAGTTACTTCAACTTCTGTTTTAAGATTGTCGGACGTTTTCAAGGAATTTGTTGTAATCTGAGTTTTCGTTTGAAGATTATCGGATGTTTTCACGGAACTTGCTTCAATTTGAGTTTCCTTCAAAGCCAATTTCTCTTTTGTGGAATAATCCTTTTCATCATGACCACCACCCCCCAATTCTTGTAATTCCCTCTATGAATTTTTTTTTTTTTTTGACCAAGTTAGCACCTTATTTAGATCAATTATTAATAGTCAAAGAAGAAACTAATTAAGAGACTTACTAACAAGTTTGGATCCTTCATATCCTCCTCGTTAAATTCAACTTCATCATCGTTCTCTGCACCCAAAGCACCAAGTGCTTCAATATCAATATCACCAGGAACACCTGAAAACGAATTATGATTTGATTTTGCTTTAGGTGGTTGTGGTTTAGGTTTTGCCTTTGATTTACTTTGTTGAGCACCCGAGCTCAGAGCACTTAATTCTCTCTTTTTTTTTTTTTTTTTTTTTTTTTTCAAAAATGAAAAGAATAAATGAAAAATCATAACAAAACTTAAAAGATGTATGATAAAATAAACTTAATACCAATAAATCCGGATCATCAAAATCCATCTCACTTAAATTATCATCTGCAGGTAAATCTAAATCATCAAGTCCTTCTATGCCAAGACTTCCTAAATCTAATGAACCGACTGCACCTTTTTTACTGGGCGTTTTAGAGCCGAACATCTTTATGATTTTTATTAATAATCTTATTCAACTTGAGTTTTTTTTTAAATTAATTAATTAATTAAATGAATAAAAAAACTGGATCCGGTGTAACAAGTTTATTATCGTTTTAATAAGATTTTATTTGGAGACCGAAAGTTACAGAGCGTTACCAAAAAAAAAAATCATTTCATAAAAATTGGTAATACAAAAAAACATTTAATAACAGATTTACATAAAAATTATATATTTATTTATTTATATGCTCCTACCAAATAATGAAATTTTGAGGTGACAAGTTAAAAAGAATTCAAAGACCAAAGGGCTTTCTTGATCAAGCGAGAACTTCAATATTATATTTATGTGTAGTGGTTACACAACCATCTCAAATTTAATCCGATACGCGGATGGATTGTAATTAGGGTGGGCCCATTTTCTGCGGCGTTAAACTCAAAATATGCTTGCTTTATATAGTTAGATATGCAAGTATATTCGAAAAATTTTATAAAATATGCTTCGTTTTATTTTTTTTCAAAAAATGCTAAAAAAATGCGATAATTTCATCAAATTACTTTATTTAAAATCTATAATTATTATACTGC